CGACTGGGATCTCACCTAGAGGAAGCCACGACCACGTGTCAGAGCAGGGAAGATGGCCACGGGTCATGTTCGTCACCCGATGTGGAGACAAAGTACAGTACAGTACAGTATGAAGAGAGAGAACACTAACCTTGCTTGAGACGACACCAAAAAGCTTCACAGCAAGTGTCTGTCTGCGACTGGGATCTCACCTAGAGGAAGCCACGACCACGTGTCAGAGCAGGGAAGATGGCCACGGGTCATGTTCGTCACCCGATGTGGAGTTCACAAACGGAAGCAAAATTTTGCGAACGCTGCTGTTCGCAAACCGAATTGTTTGTGAACAGAAGCATTTGTGAACCGAGATATTACTGTAACTAATAGTTATTGTTTTCCAAACTGACCAAAATCTGGCAGGAATGGGAGACAGTCTTTTTTTTTTGGTAATTTTATTTAAGTTTACAAATACAAAGATAAAAGACTAATAAAAACTAAAAGAAATATAAAAAGTGAGGAAAAGAAAAAAAAGTGGAAAAAGATAGGAAAAAGAAAGGGGAAAAGGGGGAAAAAAATAAGAAAAGGAGAAATATAAAAAATTGACTCTCCGCCCCCCCTCCAGACAATTATAAACAACTTCAGTAATCGACAATTGACACCTTCTCTAGTATTTTGATAATTTAAAACAATCTCTTCTTCCCATATCTCATCAATAAACAAATTGTAAAAACTCATTATTCGGTCCTATTCAGCAAAAGTGTAATAAAAGCTACCAGAAATAATAACATATATACTTTAACCTTAATCAAGTAACTCCATTTTGTATTCCAACATCACTTTCTCTGATAAATAAAGCAAAAGAAATCTCTCCCCATTTATGAACAAATCTTTAAAGCCTTGTCATACAGTCCTGGTAAAAAGAAAAACCTATTAATAGCTACCAGAAACCACAACATATATTTTAACATATAATATTTTAGCCAAATTCATTTCATAGTCCTTCTGTTTACTTTTAAAAAGCTTGGTCTTTAATCCTGTCAAATAATATCTCACAAGTTGATTTCTTATCATTTTCTCTTCGTCTCCTTTCAGAAACTGCTTCAGTAGTTCAACACATCCCTTTTGTAAATCCAAGATAAGAAGGCTATCCAAGTCACTCTTCTGATTTATTATATGTATGCCCCCTTTAGTTATTAAAACATCAGCCAGTTTCAGTTGTAAATCCATTGTGGTATCTTTTTCCATATTCTTCTTATAATCTGTCTTTTTGAAATCCATTTTCAAATCCATATCATCTTTTTCCATATAACTCTTGTAGTCTGCCATTTTTTTAGAATC